ATCGAGTGCGCTAACCACTCCCCACGACCACTCCACCACACACACGCACGGGGTCATTTCTGGCCTCACCTACGCAACCTCTGTCCTTGGGCAACACAAATTCCTTTACACAGTAATCCACGTGTGTCAACATTTGCGGCCGCTAACGGTTACCGATAAATTCCGCTTCAGTTGCACGCAGTGCACCTGCAGCAACCTGCCCTATGGGGAGGAGCGGTGGCGCGGCGGTTAGCGCACCGCACTGCGCGCTGTCGAACCCGGGCACCACTCCGCCAGGCTTCATCGGCTCGAGTTCAAATTCTGGCCATGGTGGACGCAGTGGTGGAAATTCCATATTCAATGGTGGGGGGAGGAGAGGGGGCAGCCGCTCCACAGGACAACTGGTGTTGACTTCGTTGCAATGTCATACCCCACGTGAGATTATTATGATGTCCGAATGCAGCGGCATTTGAGGATGCTGGACAGAGAGTAAGCATGATGGGGAAACCGGCAAAACACGGGGAGATGTACACGTGTGTGTGGAGAATTGGTGCTGCGGTTACAGCACTGCAATATGGACCCGGTCATCTGGGTTTGATTGCCGGCCATGGCTAACATCTCACTACGTGAGCCCCTCTCCTCCCGCTCTCTTCAGGAGCCACACTGGGTTGGTGTGGTGATGTGTGGTCACGTACGTTGAACTTCTTTCGCAAAGCACGCAGGCAACCGCACTGTTCGAAGATCAGGGATTTTCCAGCTGTTATATAACATTTTCCACTTTCGTTCCTCGTAATGATGACGTTAGAATAAATCGGCCCACGGGCCATTGAGGGCACGCACAACTTGACCAATCCCCGTCTGTCACCGCGCACCGCCGATGTACACATTTCGCGTTTTGAAAGTGGGAGCGTCAATTTATTTTTCCACTTGAGCCATCCTATCCCCACCCTAGTCATTACTCTGGCCTAGCCTGGCCCTGTGGCTCCAAGAGAAAGTATTCATCCGTGTGCATCCCCAGCCCCAATGTTTTGAGCTCAGAAATCGATGCGATATCTGACTGTGACCGGCCAAAGTGCTTCGTCTGAAATTGCGCAGTGTCTCCTTCGCAGCTCAAGCGTGAATGTCGGCACAAACAAAACCAAAAAACATCTGAGGTGTAAAAGAAGTGGCAATTGCTTGCTCACTTCACGAAAACTATAATACTAAACAATTTTGTATTTTACCAGGTAAGACCCAACCTGGCCACAATCGATAGCACAACGAAGTGGCTTATCATGCAGACATTTATAGCAGCCAAATAGTTTGATGAACGATTATAAATGCGGAGGGAAAAACCGGAGGACCCGGAGAAAAATCCACGCGACCATGGTGAGAACGTGCAAATTTCAAATGTACAGGCGTCGGGGTCGGGATCGAACCCACGACCTCCTGCGCACGAGGCGAGGTAGTTAACATCTCTAAATGTACAGCATCTCTTAAGGATAGGGATGCTGCCACAGTGGTGTAATGGTTAGCACGCTGTACGTGCCATCCAGAATTCACCGGCTCGATTCGATTTCCAGTTGCGGTAGCAGAAACAGCGGGGCGAGTCTTCTCAAACCCCTGACGTCTCTGTCCACTCGGCAGTACCGACGGGTTCGCCGCGGTCAAGAGATTGATAAGTCGTGCGTGGTAGGATATGTAGAGTATGTTAGTACTCCCACCACCTTCCAAGACGGTCCTGGCCACGTGGAAGAGTAGGCCAAATTCCCTCTAGAGGAGGGGGCTGTCGAGTGCTACCTCTAATGGAGGCCCTTCCGCCAGCAGAGGTGTGAGAAAGCAATTGCAGCGCTGCGCCTTTACTATTTTTGTAAGTATTACAAAGTAATAATGACTATGTTGTTGTAGTGTGTGTGTGTGTGCGCTTGTGTTTGTAATCATGAGAGCAGATGTAATCGTGACCTCGGCAGGTCACTGGCAAATCCCGCTCTCCGTGCACTCATAATTCTCTCTCTCTCCGCTGACATCGGACACGGAGCGTGGAGCAGTATTTTAATAAAGGCTGGAGACGTTTGTGGGGATGTCGGGGGGGGATTGAAGTGGGGGGGGGGGGCGCGGGGGGGGGGGGGAGACGAGGGAGAGGGGAGGGTGTGTGGGGTGTAAGGGGGGGCAGACTGGGAAGGGGAGGAGAGGGCGAGGGAAGCGCTGGGTGGCGGAGTTGTGGGGGGGGGGGGGTGCGCCAGACTGCAAAGGGGAGGGGTGGGGAATGCGAGGATGGGGGGCAGATTGTGGAGGAGAGGGGATGCTGGGGCGATAATCAGTCGGGGGGGCAGACTGAGCTTGGGGAGCAAAAACGATCACCACTAAACACCGGTTGTGTTCACAGGGATGTCGGAGGCGATGGAAGTACAATTTTAAGAGCAAAAAAACTTGGGTCTGACCTAGGGATGGCCGAGGGGGGCCCCCCCTCCACCCAAATACATTCGCAACAAGTGTGATGTCATCCTAGCATGCAAAGCATGCTGAGAATTCTGTTGTTCCTTTTTTTTGAAGCACCTTTATTTTGTTGATTTTTATTATTTATTCCGGTTAGCGTGCACTTATTTCTTTTCGGGTTCTGCGATTGAAGCTTTTTCACCGACAAAAGACGCTCACGTTATTATTTTATCTCAACAGGCACGTGCGTGTGCATTATTAGCGCGTGCATTTCACCGTCACAGCAACACACGTGCAGGTATAGGACATTGAAAACGGATCGTGCTATCGCAATCTAGAATAAAAAGTCACTTCTTTAGAACTGCTTTTTGTGTTTAGTTTGTTGCCCTCTCCCCCCGCACCTCCGATTAGCGCGGTTGGCTTAGGTACCGTGCGAAAAAAGTTCAACGCACATATGCAGACGGACGTACGTGCTGCAGTTGGCTTCGGCTAAAACCTCCGTCAAGCGAGCGGGGGAGACGCTCTCGCCGAAGGAGTGGTACGAGAGTGAATCGGTGCCGGGCGAAGAGGTTGTGAGTCAGGAGTCGACCTGGCCCATCATCCCGAAGGGATCGATAAAACAACTACCCTACCACTTTGTTCGGGAAGTCAGTCGGGGGTTTTCATACTGGATGCATTCGGTCCTTGCCTGGGGAATGTGGAATTTCCACCAACGGTTCTGGAGCGCCAGTGTGGACGACCACGGAACGAGGTTTGTTTTGGGTGTGGGGACCGCAGCGCGAGCGGTGGAAGTGTGAAAACATATATTCGTAAAATAAATGACAAATATTTACAGGCCTTTCCTGATGCCCCGTTAGTCATCTTATATTTTACATTTGTCGAGTGCCGTAGCTCAAGGCGGTGTATATCGTTTAAAAGGGCGGTGACAATGAAAGACTGGTTGAGAGAGCAAGGGGCGGTGCAAGGGTTGAGGAATGAGTGACCATAACAGAGGGCTCAAGAGGGGCAGGAAAGGGCTGCAGGGGAGGGACGAGGGGAGGGAATGGGCTGATGGGCATACTTCACCACGCTGATGAAGGAGGTGGTTGGGGCAGTGGGGGTGGAGGGGGAGACTACTCCGGATCGGTTAAGATATCGCTCGCCACTGAAGCTAGCCTTCATCGCGAATCGAACTCGGGTCCGCCACGTTTCATCGCGGCTTTTGTGATGCACTTCGCCGACCGCCGCCGCTCCATCCCATTGCCCGACGAGCTTTGTGTGGACGTTTGTTAACTGAGAGGGTCTCTGCGATTTCCCACGGGCGTGGATTCTGAGCAATCGCGGGGATCATGTGGCTACGCACAGCAGCGATGCGTGCATGCACGGCAAGCGGCAATCAGCAAAGTGGACTCTGCCATCCGGAGGTCCGCCGGTTCGATCATTAACCGCCTTCCAAGGCCAGTTGAAACGATTTTTTTTAGCTTTTTTTTCTGAACGTTTATGTTTGTTTGAGGCAACGCGCGGGGCACCGGTTTAGGTCACGTTGCGACGCGCGCGGACGCACCGTCAACAAAAAAAAACTAAAACCGGTGATGAAAAGCAATGGGATAGAGAGATGGGGAACGTGCTCGCCGCCCATCACCTATCCGAGTCGGTGGTGGGGGGAGTTCCCCACAGCAAGGAGAAAGGGTGACTCTTTTTAAAGTAAGGTTGCAAGGGATGAAAAGGTGAGAGAGGGATTTAACCGAGACGCGCCTGACATAATGAAAAGAAAAACATGAAGGGGCGACCTAAGCGGGCATTTGTTTTTAAATTTCACCCCTCCGAATGCGGCTCCTGTCTAATCTGCAGCGGTTATGGCCCCTTATCCTCGGTCCCTGTCTCCCGACCACCCGTCCTTGTTAACTTATTTCAGGTGTTGTATGAGGGAATTAACAACGCTTTGATTAAATCCACCCCCCGACACCGCTGTCCACCCGGCAGCGTGAATGGGTTCGCCGCAGTTTACTGGGACGGCAGAGTTGCGTCTGGTGCCGCGAAGTGCGGGCGCCTTTCACCTCTTCCGAGAAAAACCCTCACAGTGTGGACGAGGAGGCCAAGCACCCTCGGCAGGAGTTCAGAGCTCACTTCCAGCCGAGGCCCTTCCGCCAGCAGGGCCGCATACTCACCTTCACGCGCCGGGTCCACTGGTTTTGCCTTCCACACTCAGAAGCATGCCGTCTAGATTACTTTGATTGTTTTGCTGCTATAAATGTCCACAATGATGAGCCACTTCGTTGAGCTTATCGCATGTCGCTTGGTCGCTTCTGAAAAATAATCTAATAGCTCAGTGGGCTTTACCTGATAAGATAACAATTGTTTAGGTGTATTTGTATATATTTGTAAGTGATTTGTTTACCTTTTTCATGCTTTGCACTCTTATCGTGTTTTTGCATAGTTTGCTGTTGTAACGTTCTGACCTGCCCCTACTGGACATCTGTGAAAAAGAGCTTTGTAGCTCATCGGATTCCTCCAGCATAAATATTCTGATGATTCTGAAAAAAAATAACAAAAAAACAACAACCTGGCACTTGCCCCCGCGGGCTACAGGCTACATGGGGCGCCTTTGTCTTTGCCTTCGCACACAGGACCTGGGCATGGAGTCCACCTCCCTGGACGATGTCCTCTACAAGTACGCCAGCTTCCGGAACATCGTCGACCCCATCACCCACGACCTCATCATCAGTCTCGCCCGCGACATCCAGTGCCCCAAAACGGTACGGAGAAGAAGCGCGTGGAGCGCGATCCGCGAAGAAGCGCAAAAGTGTGTAAGGTCGGCGGCGCGGCCCCGCAATGGCTCGCTCGCGCCCCCCGCTGCTACGGAGGGCCCGCTGCTCTCCCGTTCACGAGCGAGAGCGCGAGAGAGCCCCTCCCTCCGGAGCAGGTTGTCGGCAACCTGCGGGTCTGGAGCCGCGTGCGGCCCTTTGAGGCCCGCTTCGCAATGTCGTTTAAACTGAGGGCCACCACCACTGTCTCGTATTCGCCGCGTGCCTTGTGCGGCTCTTTAAAGAATGAATCTTTTTGCTTACCGAATTCGGAAGAAAAAAATGGCTCTTCTTGTTATTTTGGTTTGCCGGCCCCCGCTCTAGAGGCTGTGCCTGGACCTTTTCTTCCACGCTGGGCAGACGTCTTGATGAGGGCAGCGAGAGGCCACACTTTACCGCATCACATGTGACCTGCCGATCGACTTAAACCCGGCGTAGCCACCTATACTGCTGGGCGGATTCAAGAATCTCGTCCATTCTTTCAACTGCCGCGACGGGGGGATCGACATTCTGGGTTCTAAGCCCATGCGTGCTCACCATTGCAACAGTGACTGCACCCCAGGCCGATAGCGTCCGTCGTACGTTACAAAGTGCAATGCAGATGACGAACGCCGCAATCAACATCCCTTCCAGACGGGAATCGAACCCATGCCCAAAAAATTACGCCACGGCTCGGTTTATCGCTCGACATTTTCCGCCACGCTGCTGGACTGGCACGGAGTCGGGCGGGGGATTGTCCGAGTTAAGGCACTGCCACTAACCCGAAGAACGATTCGCACACTTGTTTTGCCCATCGCCACCACCGCGAACACGGCCGCCTCGGCTTCGCCACGAGGACAAAAAAAAAAAACGAGGTGGGGGTGTATGTGGCTGGGTGCCAAACTAATTCCGGGAACAGCGTTACCGGACTCCTCCGGCCGGAATTAAACACTGCCCCATAACCATTACAACCCAAGGCAGTTACCTCGCTAAATGCAAAACACGGCAACGGAAATGCGGCACGTACCAACGGGCATGTTCCCCCCAGCCACCACGATCACCACCACCACCGCCACCACCACCGCCACCACGACCACCATCACCACCACCACCACCGCCACCACGACGACCATCACCACCACCACCGCCACCACCACCGCCACCACCACCGCCACCACGACCACCATCACCACCACCACCACCACCATCACCACCACCACCGCCACCACCACCACCACCGCCACCACGACCACCATCACCACCACCGCCACCGCCACCACCACCACCATGACCACCGCAACCAACATCAGCACCGCCGCTCGCAGCCGATATTTACGGAGATGCCTGCGTTTTCGCTGGAGTGCATCGAGATGCAATTATTATGCCCGGTCGTGGGGGTCATGAGGTCACGATCTCTCTCTCGTCACATGGTGATTTGTCCCCGTGGTGCGAGGCGTTGGGGGAGGGGGGTGGTGTTGCTCCTTCGTGTCCCCCAGGCAAGCGTGGCAGTAGCAAGCAATGATGGCTCTACTCTACTGATGAGTCTTAATGGGAATAAAACCAAGTCATGCAGTTGATTTGTTGTCCTGCACGACATGGGAGGAGGCCGAGGGCTACGGTTTGGCAACGATGATTATGATTGAGTTCTTTTAATCCTCTCCCAATTCCGCGACGACGGTCAGCGTTCATTTCAAGACGTTGCAAAAAAAAACGAGGTGGGGGTGTATGTGGCTGGGTGCCAAACTAATTCCGGGAACAGCGTTACCGGACTCCTCCGGCCGGAATTAAACACTGCCCCATAACCATTACAACCCAAGGCAGTTACCTCGCTAAATGCAAAACACGGCAACGGAAATGCGGCACGTACCAACGGGCATGTTCCCCCCAGCCACCACGATCACCACCACCACCGCCACCACCACCGCCACCACGACCACCATCACCACCACCACCACCGCCACCACGACGACCATCACCACCACCACCGCCACCACCACCGCCACCACCACCGCCACCACGACCACCATCACCACCACCACCACCACCATCACCACCACCACCGCCACCACCACCACCACCGCCACCACGACCACCATCACCACCACCGCCACCGCCACCACCACCACCATGACCACCGCAACCAACATCAGCACCGCCGCTCGCAGCCGATATTTACGGAGATGCCTGCGTTTTCGCTGGAGTGCATCGAGATGCAATTATTATGCCCGGTCGTGGGGGTCATGAGGTCACGATCTCTCTCTCGTCACATGGTGATTTGTCCCCGTGGTGCGAGGCGTTGGGGGAGGGGGGTGGTGTTGCTCCTTCGTGTCCCCCAGGCAAGCGTGGCAGTAGCAAGCAATGATGGCTCTACTCTACTGATGAGTCTTAATGGGAATAAAACCAAGTCATGCAGTTGATTTGTTGTCCTGCACGACATGGGAGGAGGCCGAGGGCTACGGTTTGGCAACGATGATTATGATTGAGTTCTTTTAATCCTCTCCCAATTCCGCGACGACGGTCAGCGTTCATTTCAAGACGTTGCACTCACCGCAGACAACCGGAGAGACACGACAGCACTCTGCCATGGCTGGCACCAAACTGTGCCACACGCCCTCCCGCGGGGCCTTTTACTTCCGATTCCGTTCAGAATCGATTCCTTCGTCGGAACGGAATCGGAAGAAAAACTAACGGAACGGGAAAGGGTTAACCGCTAACGCTCCGCCACACACCACACCTATTCTATGCGGAAATTTATTTTACTCCGCAGCTGTACGAGAGCTCATCGCAAAGCACTTTTGTTAATACGAGTATTTTTTTCTTCCCTCGGCCGGAGCTAATTTTGTGGCTGTGTATGACCCCGTGACCCGGGCAGCTCGAGCCCTGCGCTCCCGGGGTCACGAGGTCACCGCCGCTGTAAATGTCGAACCCCCCCCCCACCTGACCCGTGTCGTGCACCCAGCAGCAGCAGTTGTTGTTGTTGTGAAGGTGAGTCCTGAGTTGAACTTCTCCATCTACCTGCCTTAATGTCTCCTCCGATCAATCGTAGGTGCGCCACGGTGGCGGGATGTTAACTACCTCGCCCGGTATGCAGGAGGTTGTAGGTTCGATTGCGACCTTGACATCTGCTGTATATTTGCAGTTTGCATATTCTCTCGATTACTCCCCCCCCCCCCCGCTTCCCGTGGTCGCGTGGATTTTCCTCTGGGTCCTCCGGTTTTTCCCTGCACATTTACACATTTAGAATCAACATCCACGCGTTTAAGAGTACTGTATTTGGCTGCTGCTATGAATTTCCACGTGGTAATCCACCTCGTTGGCCTATCATATGTGGTGCAGGTGGCTTGTGAAGAAGAGCCACGTAGCTCAGTGGGCCTTACCTGGCAATATGAAAACAGTTTAGTTCGGTATATAGTAGAGCCGTGACGATTTGTCAAAAGAGTTGATTATCGACTGAAGATTGCCATCGACCACTTCCCTTGTGGTCTCCTACTCGGGCCCGTAAAATTATTTCTGCCGCCCCGCGTCCTGCCTCCCGAATGCGGGCGACCCCCTGCAAGCCAATCCTAGCGCGGCACGGCTCACGATGGCGCTGGCTTCACCAAACCCCCGGCCGTCACCACCTGTCCAGCGGCGGTGGCACACGGTGGCACGCGGTGGCACACGGTGGCAGGAGAGGCGAGATGTTGTGGCTCGAAGGAATGATTGGCCGATCGACGAGAGACTCGTGATGGAATGACAGCCAGATGATAGAATTTGCCCAAGAGGACGACCGCGGCGGAGATGGAGCGATGGAGACCAGCAGTGGGCTGGAAGGAAACGAGGTGGATCGTGGCGTCGCACGAACCCTGCGGAATGGCGATAGGATAATATAATAACAAGTTACATTTTTAAGGTGCATTTAATCCGAGGATGGAGATGCAGTCATCCGACAGTGAATCGATCGTGGCCGACGATGGCGATGACGACGATGGTGGGATCTAGCAGAAGGAAAGCTATGGCAGGACGTGGTGCCATCAACGACATTAGTCGTGATGACCCGTTGACCTTGACCTGGATACAGGGATGGGTCAATGTGCGGTTGTCACGGTCCAATATGCCCACTACCCCGTGTCGAATATTCCATCTCCAGGTGCGACGGTGGGTGCGTGTTCAATGCCGCCAGCTGTCTTATCGCCTGACTCCCACAACCCCGGTCGTCTGTTACGCTTTTTGAGGCTCGTCTCTTTGATGTAAGGTGATGGACACGCTGATTGGATGATGATTAATACGTACACATACGCGTGCATTTGCATACGCCACGCGGGCAATGCTAATCAGCAGCTGATGAGCTGCCGCCGCTGCTCGTAGCTTTTATGTTTTGTCAGTGAAAAGCGACGGATGTGACCCTTTGCCCTCCATTTCATCTTTGGCGTTTAAAAAACACCTGCCTGCTTTTCGGTCCCTCAAACAAACACCTCTAACCATTGTTGTGTCTCTCCATCCTTGTTGATTTCTGTCTGCCTGCTCATCCGTATATCTGTCTACCTTGTCTGTCCGTTTGTCTCGATTTGTCCATCGAACAGACTTTACCTATTTCCCTTGAAGTGTGTTCATCTGTCTGTACGTCCGTCCATCCATCCTTCATCTATTTGGTCCACCTGTCCATCGGTACCATCTGTTCGTCTGTCTGCCCGTCCAATCATCTGTATCTCCCTATCCATCTACACGGCCTGCTCTGCCCATGTGTACGTCTGTTTTATTTACGTCCTTCTCTCCCTCCGCCTGCTTGTCCATCTCTCCATCTTTCCATTCGTACATCTGCCCATCTGCCCATCTCCTTGCCCATCCATCCACCTGTCTTTCCATCGATCCCCATCCATCTCTCTGTTCTTCTGTTTGCCCTCTGTGTTTTGCCCCCCCCCCCCCCCACCTGCCCCCCCCCCCCCTCTCTCTCTCTCTCTCTGCCTGCCCGCTAACCTGGCTACCTTCCCCACGTGTCCCCCCTCTCCTCTCTCCCTCTCCGTTCGGCGATGGCGGCGACGGCAGGAGGACGATGCGCTTCGCGCGTTTGAGAAGCTCTGCCGCCAGCTCATTTACCACCTGAGCCCCCACTCCCAGCTGCGGCGGCAGAGCACCAGGCGCCGAAAGCCGCAAGCGAGGTGAGAGCGCGCGGCGGCCGAGAATGCGCGTGCGTGGGTGCGTCCGCGCGCTGGTGTGCGCGCCGCGCTATGAACCCTGGCCCTCCCGGGCTCGATTCCCGCTCGCGGCCGATAACGACGGTGGCGAATATACCTCGGCTGATTATGGGCCTCTTGCTGGGTTCGAGTACCGTAACTGGTGTGGTGCGTAAAGGTCAGCACCGGGGAGACAAAGGTGCGCCGGGTGTTGGTCTGGTCACTCCATCCCCTTTGTGCCCCATGCCAGCCTTAATAGCTTCTTCACCAACAGCACTTGCCCCAACAGCCACTTACAATGCTCTGTGGCGGGGGGGGGGGGGGGGGGGGGGGGGGGGGGGGGGGGGTGGGGGGGGGCGGGGAATCTTCGAGTGACAATTTCCGATCGGGAATTATTTCTGCTCCGGTTTCCTGGGAACGAACGCACTTCACAACCAGCCCTGGCGTTTATTGGTGAGCAGGCGATCGTGAGCACGCGAGTTTGTGCGATTTCTGATTGGTGCCAAGAGCAACCGCCGGTCGCGCCACCTCATCTCATGGCTCGCTCGCTCGCAAGGACACCGTCAATACCCGTCCTGCCCGTTCGCTCGCTCGCTCGCTCGCTCGCCGCTCGCCCTCCCACCCGCTGCTACCACCCGACTCCAACCCCACAGCCGGTTCCGCGTCTTCGTCACAACAGAGGCGCCTGACCTTGGAAATCTGAATTTCCAAGGCGACCCTGTGTTGTTCCTCGAGCTGTCACAATGTGCTGGAATCGCTGACGACGCACTCGTTAGTGACTCCGCAGGTAGAACTCCCTCCCCCCCCCTCCCCCCCCCCACCCCTACGGTGATCTCCACCCCCTACCCCCCCACCGCCCCCATCATCATCATCATCATCATCTCCGCTGGATTCAGCGGTTGTTTGCGGTCGGCTGTTTTCGGTTTTGAGAGACGGAAATTGCAGCTCTCATTGCGCGCACGCACACCCTCTCCTCCTCCTCCTCCTCCTCCAGCCAGCCCCCTCTCTGTAGACATACATTGCGCATCGTCACGGTATAAGTTGTACACACACGCATTGCAGAAGGAGTGGTGCATAGCGTGGTTGGCGTGGGCCCTGGTGCAATGAATGAAATCCCCCCCCCCCACCCCCCCTACCCCCCCTACACCCCCCCCACAATTTCGTAGCTCTTGGAGTCCCTCCAGCCCGTAGGTGGACCGCGGGTGCAGTTGCACCGCCTGCATGTCGGATCGTTGCTGTGCTGCGCGTGTACGTGCGTGTACGCGCGTGTACGCGCGTGTACGTGCGTGTACGTGCGTGTACGTGCGTGTACGCGCGTGCGTGTCGGTAGATCGTTGGCGCAGTGGTGCGCGCACTGCGCTGCGAACCCGGCGAACCCGAGTTCGATTCCCGCTCACGGCCAACATCGATGACGATGATCTGAACCGGGTCTTGGGCCTCACCTAGGTCTACTCAGGCTTAAATGAGTACCTGGTGCGGTGTGTAAACGTCGAGACAGAGGCAGTTGGGCGTGCTGCTGGCCATCAACCCCCTCGTGTGCCACAGTGCCGGCCTTCATAGGTGCTCGCTCACAGCACTTGCCCACAAAAGTCTGTTTGTGCTACAAAGGGGAATCTTTGCCTTTTGTTACAAAGCCCTGGCGGAGTGGCGTGGGCGCTGTGCTAGGATACCAATGACCCAGGTTCAATTCACGGTCTTCCATACGCGTCGCTTTTGTAAACGCCTCTCTCTAAAGTTCACGCGCGTGCAATCACGTGGAGTTTGGGGGTCAAAGCTGACCCTCGACTTCCGCTGTATTGACTCGGCCCAAAACGAATTCTTTGCGCGAGTGAACGCAACGTCAGCTGCGGGAGAGACAGAGGTGGCTGTAACTGTTTTTTTTTAAATCTAAATCCATCCTTTTGTTTGTGCGTGTGTGCACGTGTGTGTGTGCACGTGTGTGTGTGTGCGTGCGCGTGCATGCGCACACGTGCGCGAACTGCCAGACTTAATAGGCGCTTCGCTAACGACCGCTTTGTCACAGCCCTGTGTCACGTTATTATGGGGAGCCTTCGTCCCTGTACAATACGAGTAATCCGAGGTCGACTTTAGTGTTCGCACTCCACGGGAGGCGAATTTCTTGGTCCGACGATGTAAGGGGCGCCGCGGTGGCTAGGAGATGTTAACTCCGTCGCCTGGTATGCAGGAGGCTGTGGGTTCGATCCCGACCCTGACGCCTGCCGTATATTTGGAGTTTGCCCGTCTTTCTCCCCGTGGTCGCGTGGATTTTTCTCCGGGTCCTCCATAGTTTCCCTCCACATTTAGAATCAACGTCATGCGTTTAGAGTATTTGGCTGCTATAAATGTCCACGTGATAAGCCACTTAATCGGGGTATCATTTGTGGCCAGGCCGCTTCTGAAAAAGAGCTCTACAGGTCAGTGGGCCTTACCTGGTAAAATAAACATAGTTTAAAATAAAAAATAGTTTTAAGTGGTTAAGTGCTCGACATAAGAGTTATAGCGATATAAACACTATCGGCTGAACACACCCTCTGCGCAAATCCTCTGCACCTTCATTTTCGAACAGCCTAAACGCTTCTAGTTACGATAAGCATAGAATTAAATGAATATATTCGTGCCAAGAAATATATAGCTCGCTTTTTCTTGGTATCGCTTCGATAACGCTGTGAGATTTTTACATCGGTCACTCACTCGCCAAGTCACGGCTGTCTTGCACGCATTGGATGCGCATGGCGTCGACCGACAGCGTCATTTTTAGTGCACCCTGCTGTGTGAACTCGGCGACCTAAATTTGATTCCCAGCCCGCAGCGAACATCGGTGACGAGTGACGCCAAAACCGGTCTCGGGCCAGCGCTCCAGCGGTGGCCAGTGTGGTGAAGTATGGTCAAACAACCCCTCACGGACAGCACGGCATTAGGAGGCCTTTTGTCCGTCCGATCGTGAATTGACCAGAGGGCTGCAAATTATGTTTCTTAATACATTTCAGGAAAAATAATGAATGAATGCAGATTCAATTGATGAATGATTACAGACGTCAATTGATTCAGTTATTGGTTGAAGCCGACATCAATATCCTGTCCAATTTATGATTAGCTAGGAAAAGACCGCGCTGATTATTTTTTTACTATTTAAATGACCCAATTCCAGTTCTTGGACACATCAAACGAGTCTTGTGACCCAGATATAATATTTTTTATAGTAATTGAAGGTAAAGGGGAAGCCATGCAAGTGCTTGCTCTCAAGCCACTGCTGGTGGAAGAGCCTCCACTTGAGAGTCCCTCCAGAGAGGATGTTTTGGTCTCGGCTCTTCCACGCTCATCTGAGCTAAACAATTTTTTTTTTAATTTCACCAGGTAAGGCCCCACTGAGCTGCCATATAGTTATATTTCAGAAGCGACCTGGCTATCGTAAATGATAGATCAACAAAGTGGCTTATCATCACGTGGAAATTTACAAGCAGCCAAATACTCTAAACGCGTGGATGTTGATTCTAAATGGGGAGGGAAAAACCGGAGGACCTGGAGAAAAATCCACGCGACCACGGGGAGAGAGACACGCAAACTCCAGAGATACAGGCGTCGGGGTCGGGATCGAGCCCATGACATCTCGGTGGCGAGACGTTCAATACCACGCCTAGTATACAGGCGAGGTAGTGTCTTGTCTGTAGGTTGAACTTCTTTTGCACAGAACGTAGCCAACCACGCTGATCGGAGTTGTGTCTGTGTACGTCTTTTTGTGGCCTGCTGTACATGCCGTGGAAACCCATGACTGATACGACATGGGGAGGCATAAATATATATATAAACACCCAGGTCTGTCATTCTGTGACTCTATGACTCTGTCATTGTGTGATTAACGCGGCACGGATTGATTGAAGTGCATCACGTGACCGTGAGCAAGCAGCCAACCAGAGGTGCACCCCTCACAAACGTGTACGCCCCCCAGGCGATGTTGCTCCGTAATAAGGCGCTGTGGGCAGCTGATCTACCACCACGTTCACGGGCCGACAGGGGTGGGGGCTGAGGGGGAGGGAGACCCCCCCCCCTCCATAAGACCCCTTAAGATAAGAGCTTTCCACACCCCCCCCCCCCCCCCCGTGACTGGAGGTTGACACCCCAGAGCCCCCAGGGGGTGGGGGCTGAGGGGGAGGGGGACCCCCCCCCCACCACCACTTCCTAAGACCCCTTAAGATAAGACCTTACAAATAATCCTAACAGTTCTTTCAGTAATTAATAAGGCATAGCTCTAAGTCATAGCTCTTAGAAATTAATGTAAATATCACAACTAAAGTTTAAATACATTTTCATTCATTCACATTAACGTTACATCGCGGTATCGTCAATAAAGGTATGTAGAGTGAAAGTTTTAAGTGAAAGCCAGGTTAAGCCGCTCTTATTCGACTTATTGAAAGTCCTCAAGTACAGCAAAGCCGTTCGCGTTCTTTTTACAGTACTCTACAATAATACTTTTCAATAATACTTTAGACGGTAAAACACACGTGCACTACACACACACATCTATTACGTACGGACATATACACACGGTTCTAATTACATTAGTACTGTCGTTTTTTTGGTGCTTAAATCCACTGCTGGATGAAGGCCCACCGCACGCTGTGAGAGTGAATCGTAAGGATTTACTTGATCAGTTTGTTGGGGGCCACCGCAGGCTGTTAAATATAGCAGTGGACTGATAAAAGTTGTAAACGTCATTTATTTATATATACATATACACATAAATATAAAAATATGGCCAGGTGGCTCAGCGAAAGAGTGAGCGGTTCGCAATCGGAATGTTCAAATTCTGATTGGCGTTTAGCTCAACCAATCATCCCTCCGGCGTCACTAAAATAGGTACTACTTCAGAATCAGATCAGAATCAGGATATTTATACTGGAGGAATCCGATGAGCTATAAAGCTCTTTTTCACAGATGTCCAGTGGTTCTCCTACGGAGAGACTCGCCTCTCTTCGTAGAAATGAGGA